AATTTGCAGATATGAAAGTTCTACAATCCTAATGACGCAAGAAGAAAACTAATAGGGGTTTGTGAAATTTTTCAGATATAAGTGGTTTATACTCCTACGACACTTGTCAAGTGGTTTCTAAATGTTATTCCTGTTAACTCACGTTATTGTTGGCAATCAAGGACATGTCCTCCTTAGCCTATATCTAAGTCATAAGAACAGTTGGAAACCATATTACAGTTAAGAGGACTTAACCATGCAGCATTTCCCAAGAATCGTTTAATCCCCTATCTAAGTTGCAATTTCCTAATGGCAATATGTATATTCCACCAGGTCACTGTGTTAACCTACTTGTTATTCTGGGCAACGGTTAGAAGTTCTGGAACATAAGTAATTTTAACATTATATCATGTCCAATTAGAAGTAAACTAAGACCGGAAGGTTAACACATTACAACAAATTCCTCGACAGAAAAGGCGTTGAGGACAAAATCCATAGAATAAAATGCAGAAAATTAGATGATTTGAATCACAGGAGTATGAAAGCGAAATTAACTACAAAACATGAGAAAAGAAGGCGCGAAAACTTTTATTGCAGCCATAAAGAGTACATTTTAAATCAAAATTTGCAAAATAATCAACTAAAATACTCGAGCTAAAATTAAAACACTTGAGACTTAAAGCAAATTACATTCACCCTCTGCAACAGTTTGTCGAGAGTAATAAATTTTTAATTAACTTCAGCTAACAAAGAGCTAACATCATATTGAATGTATCAATAAAGTTACAATAAAAGCAATTGCACGCCATTAAGAACATGATTCGAGTCCTTTGTTCACGTGATTCTGCAGCCAAATGGCGCCACAAAATATCAGTTATGACCAGAGTACTTTGATCAAGTGGTTGTCGTCAAATGACACCATTATAATGCAGTCACGGTTATAACCCATATATTCCACAAATACTTTCTATCATTTGAGTTATGAATCATAAGAGTACAATTGATTGGAATAAAACTTTGTGTTAGTTATAGTCGACTTAAATTTGACCTCTTAGACAAATATCCACCCTAGATCTCTTGTACGATACAAAGCATATTGTTGACAAGAATCTTTCTGTCATGTTGGGTTGACTACTCCCTCTGACTAAGTAGATTAGGAACCATAATGATTCGAAATGACGCAATCATGGGATGTTAATCGGGTTTTATCTTCATTCCCCATCATACGCTTTAACCTTCATATGACATATTTTGCAACTAAAATCCAAATCTATCGTTATTATATGTTAAATATTCAATTATTTATAACTAGCCTTAATAAAAGGTGCACTCCCGTTATCGGGAGAGGTAATTAATCTTAGAACTTGCACCTATAAAAAACCTCGAGCCTTAAATCAAAAAATCCTAGCAAAATGAGGGTGAAATATGTGGGTAGTGTCTTATCTACAATACAATCTGCCCTCAGAAAATCTGAACCTCCAAAGCTCTCTCACAAAAGAAACTAAAATAAAATGCAGAGTCTGGGGATCAGTCAGAATTTTTAGAGCCCACAGATTTCTAGCAACACCGCTAGAGAAAGTTTCTCTTTCCATCTTTGGCTAGTCATAAGTTTATTATAATTGCAGCAAGACAAATAATCAAAATCCAAATTTCTAATAAAATATTCAATGTCTATGCTATTATGTTATTCTATCTCTGCATTTTTGAAATAATTTTATTATATCTCTACATTCTATCTCTGCATTTATGTACTTATTCACAACATTTCTGCTTAAGGTCATCCTGCGAAACCTCATCCTATAATTGCTACTGCACATCGAGCCCACCAGCCCGTGTATAAAATGAAGCTCGTGGAGATCACAAGTACTAAGGCTCCCCGTAAGAGAGTCTCGGTATTTGAAAGGTTGGCCAATCCTAAGGCCCCAGCCTTAAAAATAACTTTTATAGGACAGCAAGTTTCTCTCACACCTGTCATGCGCCCACTCGACCGCCAAGCACTATGCACCAAGGCGTGATGTTGAAGTCTCCTCGTCAATAAAAAAGTTGTCAAGGAGACAAAAAAGAAAAAGAAACATGGAGAGAATGGCTCGACAATTACAATTGGAACAAGTTGCAGTCCAACTAATTCGATAGCCAAAAGCGAGTATTCCAACCCTCAACAAACTTGATAACTTGAATTGGGTCAAAAGGAATAGTTCTACTGGTGAAGAAAAACATTCTTTCTGGAACCAACGACGTCAACCTCCAGTTGAAGAAAAAAATCTAAAACTTTATCTACCCGAGTTCATAAGTCCTAAAAATTGTCAAACAAAAGGGATTAATGAAAAGAAAGCATGAAAAACTTGTTGTAGCTCAGACAGATAAATTCAACCAAGCCCTACACGGTGAGCATCGGAACGTGACGCCAGGATTGCGAGCCCAGGAATACGATGTCAAAAGTTCCCGACAGAAAAGTAAACAAATTTGGAGACCCAAGCCTTAAGAAGAGAAAAATACAAAAAGCAAAATGTGTGACATCCGGTGCGTGCTCCCGGAGATCTATCATTGATAAAATATGGCATGAATGGGTCCCTAGGGAAAATCCCAATGAGGAACTTAACGACCTAGACAACCCTCTAGGAGATCCTATCGTATAGATATATCACTCATCGCGCAACAATAATCTCAGGCTGAAGAGTACCATGAGAGTCGATGCCCTGGAGAATTCTCCATGGGATCCCATTGTAAGACGACTTCATCCTTGAGAAAAGTAAAAAAGTTAAATCTTAGTCAACAGTCGAAAAGTTACTCGTTTTAAATATCGAACTGGAGATTCAATGAAGATGTTGCTCAGAAATCCGAGTTCAAGAAGAAAATAAAGAAGAATACAATCAAGAGACCATGAGAGTTGAGGTAGTCTATATGGTAGATCATGCTAACGATCAAGTTGGCACCCTATATTATCGACAACAACGTCATACCGCTATTCTCGAGGAAACCCATGAAAAATAAGTAGATTGAACGAATAACCTATTCAAGTGATGTACAAGAAACAAGACATCAAGAAGAAAAGTTAGTATTCATTAACACTGGTGCATTGGCTATACAACAAAAGCAAATGCGACATCAATTAAGAGCTAAGGAAAAAGAAATATCTCAGCTCAACAGAAAAATGAATGCAATGATGACGCAGATGGCTGCCATAATAAAGTTAATTCAAAGAAATGCTATGGCGAGGCCTACACCTGCAATGTCAAACAACCATCAAGCATCTAACAGTGTTGTCGCTAACCTTGCTATCAACTCAGTGCCACAAATTTTGGGTGAACGAGGTATCCCCAGAGAGAGAAATGAGATGAATCATGTGGCTTGTCAGCCTACACATCAAAATGTTGTCAGTAAGTCAGAGCCCGTGACAGCGGCACAACTTGAGACATTGATCAATGAAAAGATCATGGTTGTTATAGCCTAAGAACGAGTTGAGAAGCTGGTGGGTAAAGACCACTCTTACCGTGTTGAGTATGATGAAGTCCCTTATCCAAAGGGATATTCAATACCAAAACTTAATACCTTCAATGGCAATGGCAATCACAAACAAAATTTAGCCCAGTGTATGGCATCAAGTGATAACACAGAAGGCGCAGATGAATTGCTATTCCGGCTAAAGCTTGATGGCATAACACCATCATCTTCATTAGTTATCTTTTTGATCTTGTTCCTCCTCTCATATCATTTTCCAAACCTTCCTAATATCTTCCTCTATATCACAGCCATCTCCCTAAAACAGCCATCCACAACCCAAGCCATCAAAACCATATCAAACCATTCCTAAAAGCAATCGGCCAACACTAGGTGCGCCCATAATAAGTATTCTCTTGAATCTCTCCATAAGCCGTTAAACCTTATGAAACACTAAATCATAAAGCCATATCCTATCCAATCCTCTATATCAATTATCCTCCATTTAGCCTTTATTAAAATGCATTCCTTAGAGTGCTAAACAAAATCAGCCTACACAAAGCTAGCATTGGGATATCACCACATCCCTCTAAAGACCTAACAACCCATCATGAACTCCATATCACATCTACACATCCAAAAGTAAACATCCATAATCATTGACAGCCACCAATCCACTCATAAGATACCCCACCACCATCACTAAGCCCAATTCAATATTGTTGGTATAAGGAAGTAAAAAAAAATAAATAAGTTGCATTTAGTCATATAACTTAGTATTAACACCCCTTGTAGCATTCTGCAAGATAAATAGAAAACTCAAGTTTGTATAAGGCTAAACAAGTCTTCATGATCAAAAAATGAATGTTTCAAACTTGAGGCAATTCATGTTTAAGAAAAAAAAATCAATCTCTCTAACAATCAAGTCAAAAAAGACAATTGGTCCGATTAGAAAAAAGTGTTAGGAAGAAAAACAAGATTTAAAGGGTATGTTTATTAGTTAAAGGAAACATGAGGGTCATGCACTACTATGCACTACTATAAGAAAAGCATTCTTCCCTTTTTCAACACACAAAGAATTGAATGTTTGTGAAAAAAAATCACCAGTCTAGGTTCAATTCTTATAACCAGCATCCAATCAAATTATTGCCTTATTGTTATACTAAATTATTATACAAAATAACACAATATTGTGAATCCACCCCACTCCCATATGTTTCATCCTATAATGTGGATTGAGCAAAAAGTATAGTTATACCTATTTCTTGATCTTTTTACATAGCTCCAACAATTTAAGAAGCGCAAATAGTGGCCAATAAATTTCAAGTTTGTGGACTTTGAAGGAAGCATTTACTTAGTGTCCATACCTAATAGAAGCGGAATTCCATAATTCAAAGTCAAAAAATGAACCATGAATGGTAAATATCATCCAAAAACAAAATATGAAAGTGAAATAAAAGTAAATTGGAATGTTCTATGTGAAGCCTTTGGTCATTCGATAAGGGAAGAGAAAAAAGGATAGATATTCATGACCTCATGGTAGGTCAAAAATACTTGACTAACTTCAAATCACTATAAAATACCTGACAATAGCCAACTGATGGATTATGACGAGCATATGCAGTAAGAATTCGCCTCAACGCATTTCTTCCATCCTCATTTAGGGCAGGATGCCCTGGAAATGTTCTAGGCAAATCCTGTGAGGACAAAAAATAGCAATAGAAAAAATTTGCATTAATAGATATTCTAAGTACATCAGTAGTTTTGTTGTGGAACTCATAACATTCCACCAAGATACCTTCTCAATCTGCCCTTTCCATTTCTCAATTTGAACTTTTATTGACAGACCTTTACTATCTGCAAGTCCCTTATCATAGCAACTAGCTTTTGAAACTAAAAGCCTCTCATAATATCCATCCACTTTCCGTAATCGCACACCAACAAAAGCTTGCCATAGCTGTTACCAAAAAAGAATATAGGCAAATTTTAGAGAATATTACAAATTAGAAAAAGTTCAATTACATAACCTTACACAATGCACCTCTCCTCTAAGACCCATAGGCACCCCACCATGAACCATACATTCTATCTCTTCTTTCCAAGGATATGTGGACTCCTTAGAAACGTGATTGATTGCCATGTTTGTAGTTTCATCATTGTTAGAAGGCCCAACTTGAACTATGTTTGTGTGATCCATGTTATAAAACTTTTCAGAATCCTCCCTTGAAAACCCTTTCCTGGGTGTTCCCTCTTCAATAGTTGTTAGAAGGCCCAACTTGAACTATGTTTGCATGATCCATGTTATAAAACTTTTCAGAATCCTCTCTTGAAAACCCTTTCCTGGGTGTTCCCTCTTCAATAGGAGCGAGGCGTTTGCTGCCCCTCCCTAAGTTTTGTTGGGTGATTGGTAAGGCCTTTCTCTTCACTCGATGGCTCATCATTTGCTCAATGGGACTTATGCAGGGAATAATGTCAGTCCACATAAAATATTTAGATGAACTTAGAAATGGTATCGCTGGATTTGCAGCAGTACATTGTGCTGCCTCTGAATCTTTTATTGTGCTGAGCTCGGTATGATCACTATCCTCGATGAGAGGACCCGCATATAAGCTTTCCAAGTTGCCATCATCCTTTTCAATCACGTCGCCTCTCTTCAAATATCCTTCCGAGCCCTCATATTTTCTGAGGTTCTCTTGTATGCCATTCCTTATTGTAAAATTTTCTTCTGAATCACCAGCCTTGCCAACATTGGCCGGATGACCATCTTCTCCCCAAACACATGCAGATGTCGTGAGGCCACTTTCCTCTGCAAAAATTACTTCAGGTTCAAACAGCCCTTTCAGGAAGACTTTCCATCGTTGGCATCTCTCTTCCTCCTCCTCCTAAAAACATTATGATCAAAAAGCAATCTAAGCAGTTGATAACAAATGCATGTGCTTGCTTTATGCATGTCTCCAGCAAGTAAAAAAAAATGGGAGGGACTAAGGAATTGCCTTGTAAATTTTAGCATATTCACCATATCTTCGCGAGTGTTGTGGCCGCACCGCAAACCCATAGGCATCCCTAATTAAACCAATCAGAACTTTATGAGAATCCTACACCACCAAACTTCTAACCGCCACAAAGAAAAATCAACGCTAAGTTAAGAAT